ACCAAATCCTCTGTTTCCCTGTAGGACTTCATTCATTACCTACTGAAGACATGGAAAGGTGGCAGAAGCGTGAAGCAGGGAGCTGAGGAACAAGAATGGATGAGCTTAGAGTAACCCAATGCTGCTTTAACAAACTGTCCCTGTCCCTTTCCCCAAACTCTACTGTGGTATTAAGTCAGGAAAATGCATTTTCAGCAGTGTTTTCCCAGAAACACCTTTTTTTCAACTATATAGCTAGCCTGAGACAACAGACTACATGCAATGGCAATAGTTTTGTTATTAGTATACGGGACAAGATGAAATTCCAAGTGCTCTGCCACATGAGGCCCGTGCTTTCCCAAAACAGCCACCTCCCCTTAGCTGACCCCTCCGAGTGCCCCGGTGCTTGTCTGTGTGCCTCAATGCCACACATGAACACCAGGATGACAATTCCTCTTCAGCTGGTAGGTGCTACGCAGCCATGAACATTTGCAGTTGAGATACTAGAATGAGGCTGCAGAGAAGCCTACAAGGAAATGGGTACCATCGGAGCACTTGCTACTGAGCGAGTGCTAGTCACCCCGTGCACCATATGCATGGAGGAATCTGTGGGACACAATGCATGATGATGTAGCTAGGAGAGGTTGACATAATGTAACTCACAAAGGGAAACAAATTCATGTTGTATGGGTGACTATAAATACAGCGTTTCTTTTCTCTGTGTACCTAACTTTGCATCCTTAACATGCTTGCATGTAATCTTTCTCTTTCTTCACCGAAGATACACAAACAGCTGTAAAATATTGACCAGATAGCTGCCACAAACACTTACATATTAGGAGCAAAATAGCTCCCAAATGATTTGAGTTTGTATTCTTTCTATGTGTGAAACCATATTTAGAAAAGCAAATTTCCATGCACATCAAAGGAAGCTGTTCCGTGCATGTCTGTTTAACATGTGCAAAAGAAAATTTTGCATACACAATGGGTATACATACAAATGGATTTTGATTGCAATGTAAGTATTGCCTTTAGAAAATTCTGTCTCCTTAAATAATTCATGTTATCGTCTTAGGAGAAGAAATCCAAAAGTATCTAGTGAGGAACCAAATTAGTGAAAGTGAGGATTCAGAAAATATTGTCCCGGCTCTGTGTTGCAAGAGTAACAATTCATTACTAGTTTACACAAAACAAACTGGATAATCTGTAGCTCAGATAAGCCTTGGTTAATATAGCCATACAGGGTGTAAGGGGAAATGGGACTGTGCGTTCCCCTGCCTAGATGCTTCGCCTGATGCAGAGCGGAAGGGCTCTGCCACACTAACCCTCACTTTGCAAAGTGCAGATGCAGATACGGCACCGTTAACATCAATAAACTGGCTACCGGAGCAGATGACAGTGTGAGGAGGATGCAAGAGCTACACCTGGGGAAGAGCACCATGAAATTGCTCCAGCTCAACCAGTGCAGGAAAGCAGAGACAAATTTTGAAAACCAGATAGGCAAGATACAACTATATTTCAAGGCTCAAGCCAGGCAGGACTCTGCCTAACTGACAGTAGGGCCTGGCTTTTTTATAATGTCGGAAATTTGGAGAGAACAAATAATTTTATAGAAAGCAGCAAGAAACATTTGAGCTCCAAATTGTGAATAGTGCTGCTGGTATAAAGCTACTGGTTTCAGAGTACATTCAAATCCATTACGCATTCAAGATCTAAATACAATAGCTGACCAAACAGAGAATTACATAGAAAAAAAATCAGAAGGTAGCATGTTGGGACTGAATTGTAGCTCAGTGGACTATGTTCTAAGTGTTATCTAAATCTTCAAACTCTGTACAGGATTCCTGTTTGTTCCTGGACTCGTACTGATTGAGGCTAGTATATAGGTCTTGGCCTTATTATCTGATAGGTTGTAATATCTACTACTTGATGACTTGATGAGAAATTGCATTTTAAAAAGCTTGATATTAATTTAAAACCTACAAGGTTTTGCTCATTATTTCTGAGACAGCCTATCCAGCTCCTAGTCAGCAGCTACAGCACAGTATGCTGACCCCATTGATGAGGTAATCAATTATGCTGGAACAAAACAAACTAGTAGCTAGAAAGAAAGGAAGCCTATGCTTTTACACAGAGCCAGAGAAAACAGAGAGAAAGAGCATTTGGTAAATGACACAGGATAAAACATTTCATTTCCAGGTTCCAAGAAGATATATTTTAAATTTGTATTAAACATGATTTACAAAATCAATGTTCTTCTATGCTGGACAGCTTTACTTGGAGTGAATGAAGACAAACCAGGGCATGCATCCAAAGCTGTGGCTCTACAGGCATGTGGCACTCTGGAATGGAGGTTTCCATGCCAGCAACTACAATTATCCCAGCTAGCAATGATTTAGCATTCTGTGATGTCTAGAGCATAAAACCACAGGCTATACCTTTAGATCACAACCATCTGAAATCCAGGTTTAAATTCTGCCTTTAAGGAGACTGCAGCACAGGTTGCTGTTGTGTACACATTGGAGAATAAAAATTATTAATTCTGCCCATCAGTGAAGTTTTCACTTATGAGTATCACAAGCCTTTGCTGTGTGCAGTAGAAAAAAAAAATGAAAATTTTTATGCTTAGTTTGAAATCCTTATTCAAAACCATGTAACTGTGCTAATTACTGAACACTGGGAAGACTGAATTAAATATCATAAGATGCTGACTTAAAAAAAAACAAGCACAAAACAAAACACTTTAAACCTACATGCATTTACCACTTTTTTTAGTTCATGATTTTACAATCCTGAGTTCAGAAAATATTTTCATCTTAAAATTAACAAAGGAAAGTAACTGGGAAAGAAGTAAATAAAAACAGAAATATATCATTTAACACAAGCTCCCATGATGAGCTGAACATCTGAAAAAAAAAGAGCAGAATGATCAATTCCTCATTGCAAGAAAGAGAGGCAAAGACTGGCTTGGGAAAAAAAAAAAAAGATTCCTTTTTGGAATAACCACAGCAGGAGCCAGAGGAAGCTTTGCACCCAGAGACCTAATGTTGTCTGTTAAGCTAACAAAACTAGTCTGGAAGAAGAAAAAAATAAGACTTCATCTTTTCATCCCCTTCCACTTCAATGCTCATCTCCGTAGTGCTTATCTTGATCCCAGTGTTCTCTTTCTAAGGATTTTTTTCCCCTCCCCCTCTTTCTTTTTTTTTTTTTTTTTTGATGCTGATGGGGGGAGCAGCATGGGTGCCTGATGCCAGCTGCGTCCTAACAGGGACCCTGCCTTTCTCATTTGCATTGTCACATTCAGCAATTACAGAATATGCAACAAAGGACCTGGAAGGGGTCAGCGATAGAGACAGCGCTGCAAATTCAGCCTGGCCCTCCAAGCCTCGTGGAAGATGGGTAGCGAGTACTGCGCCTGGTGTGGGCCAGCCCAAGTGCTTGCTGGTACATCGGGTCATGCTAAGGGCATCAAAGACCTCAAAAGAGGGTAATGCCTTGTGCCACAGGACAAGTTGGAAAGAAAACATGGAAATAGCCTACCTAAGCCAGCCACTTGCTGCCCAGTTTGCCACAAGGGTGTAATGCAAAACTTGGCATGACTGAGGAATCTCCAGTGGGGATTTCTGGAGAGCTTGCTCTAGGATGCCTCACCACGAGACAATGACAGGGTGGCTATAGGGATGTTGCCAAAGCACAACAGTCACTCTCTGTACCAAACCACAGACTAAACTAACCATGAGAATAGAATACACGCAACACAGACATACTATTCTTGAATTTATACGTGGAAAAATTCTAATGCAACGTAGTATTCCTCTGACTTTTTATGCCGTATTCTTCTTTCAGTTACACTACTGCCCTGCACAACTCAGACTATAATCTGAACAGTAACTTTTACAGTAACACCACATAAGCAACAATCAGCAATGGCTTATCATATTGGGAAAGTAAGTGCCACTACAGGCTGTCTAGAAGATGTAGGGATACAGTGAGAGAGATGTCCCCACTCATCTCAGTCCTGCACACTGTCCTCCCTGGAATTCAGAACACTCTGGGGGTAGGACTCCATCCATACAGAGGGTATTACAAGGCTCATAGACCTGAGTGAAGCACAGCTAAAACACAGGCTGTCAGGTGCAGCTCTATGTTAGGCTGAAAATAACTGTGTTTTCTAGTGTTCCTGTTACCTTAAAAAAAAGCATCTTGAATAATTACTCACACAATTAAAAGAAATAAAATCAGATATTCTTGGACAAGTTAGCTTGCTGTATCATCGAGCAATCTGCCCCATTTTATCTGCTAATGGCATGCCTAGAAAAAAGAAAAATCTGAATTTTAACCTTGAAATATGAACTCTACAAACCCGTATTTCAGTGTATGCATTATAAGCCCACACCAGGGAATACTTTCAAAAATAAAAATAAACTTCCAAACTTTGAATGCACTTTAAGGGTCAAAAAGCAATGGGAACAAATGCATTATTTAATCATAAAAACCACACTCGATTCAGTGCAAGGCTGAGGAGGGAGCTCAGGCTCCCAGAAGCAAGTGAAGTGAGGACTGCTTTGAGGGACTGCTGCAAAAAGGGCTGGAGCTGAGCTTTCCCTCAGCCCTGCCTCTGTCTGGGAGAGGTGGGGAGGTCGAAGAGCTGGAGAAGACAGGCAGCTCTTAATAAGAATGAGCTGCCATTTTCTCAGGAACAGTGAAGCAGAGAGGAAAAATAGTGGGGAATTTCTTGCTTACAAAAAATAAAGCTGTTATTCAAAACTGAAAGTCTGTTAAAAACAGGGGCTACTCATACATTGCTTCAGCTCCATGATAAATTTCTTATCCTTTTTTTAATGGTGCATTGTTAGCAGCTGTATCTTTATTACAGTCTCTGTGTTTCTCCTTCACCCTCACTAAGGGTTAGGTCCATTTCTTACCTGACCGACACAGGCTCTGCTCTCATTACCTTGACTCAAAGCTAATAGTAACTTTTAAAAAACACTCACAGTAATCATCAGCTATGGTATGCTTACCCTGAGGTAGTTGAGGGTGAAGTTTGTCAGACCCATTCGAGTGATGTTTTTGGACAGCTGCTCCAGCACCTGAGGGTCTTGTGCCTAAACAACAGAGGAAAAAATAATTTTCACTTTGCTTTTTGTCTATTTGTTTTTCTTTATGTGCTTGGTGGAGTGCAGGGAGGGTTCTTCAAAAAGAGGTGCCACTCCTATGGAAAAATTACATGTTGATGCTAAATTTATGTAATAAGCTACAGAGTTCTGTTTACGTAGGAAAATACAAAACATTATCAAATGGGAGCAGAATAAAAACTGTTTTCCCATATCTTCCTTCTGTCCCTGCCCATTTAAAAAGATAGAGCTAGGAGGTTGGGTCATGCACAGGGGTGCAGGTGAGCAGGGCCCCACCAAACAGCTTCCTGAGGGATCACAGTACACTTAGAGCATTCCATTTCTTGGCTGGGAGTCCCAAAAGACTAAGCAGATAAAGGCAGGAATAAAGAAGGCATTGCTTTTTGTGGACAAGAAACCAAAGCAGAGAGAACTCATCAAGGCACTTTCAGCAGAGCTGATCACGTAAGTGGCATTAAGCACAGGCTAAAGAACCCTTCTGGTCTATGGCATTTCCCCAGAATTAAACAGGAAAGATGCAAGTACAGTCCTTCTCTGACCCTAGCCAAGAGCTTTACCTGTGAGACCAGCCTCCTCTTTAAAATGAGATCAATCTCATTACTAAAATTAATACCTGCTGGTTTCTGGCTAACCTGCTTCCACTCTCTTTGAATTGCAGCAGCCCTCTAAATACATAATGTTGCTCATGGCCATCCTTGTTGTCCCTTAATGGGATACTGTTGAAGAGTTCAGAAGATCAGCCCTCCAAAATAAAAGATATTCTTGGGACAGAAATGGTGGGGTGGGTTTTCAAAGGTCTTTTCTTCAGGCCTGCAATAGCATTTTCAAAAAACTCCAGGCTTAAGTTTTTTAAAATTCCTCGCTAAGAATATATGTTTATCTATGGATATCTATGTAACATGATGTCAAAATGCAGGCAGCTATTTGGGGTTGTGTTCTTACCTGCTATAAAACCATAGTCCTGCAATTAATTCTGTATATGGAACACTATTAGTCAAAATGCTTCTCCAGTGCAGAACTAAAAGTGGCAATAAGACTTTGTCCTTTGATTCTCCGCAATGATTTCCCTTATAATATTTTTATTTCAACTTGTTGAATGTTTAATATTTTTATGTTCTATTGTGTGTGTTTCATTCAATTACAAAATAAAAGTCTTGAAATGTGAAAAAAAAAGATCTGGATTAAAATTCTAGAGGTTTGTAAGTAAATAAATGGTAATTACTTATTTTCTGTCTCATGTAAGAGTTACATTAGTTTACTTCATTTGAAGACTAAATATAATTCGTACCTACCATGATGAAAATTCACTGACTTCAGTGTAGTTCATACCAATAAGAACAGATTTTGGACCCAAATCATGCAGACCACCAAACAGGATAAAAATGAAAACTATGTGCTCAAACAAAATGAAAACATAGCAACAGTGGCAACAATAGAGCACTGAGAAACACAGGAGTGATGACAGAACTTATAAATGGATATAGTTGCAGGCAAACCAAAATATTTGTAGTTAATCGCCTTGGGTGTGAAATTTGCTGGAGTTCTTCATAAACCTAATTTCATCTCTTTGCATTAGGTCAAGTGAAAAAAGGATTACTTACATGCATGGCTAGAATGCTGCGTGGGACTAATTCTCTGTACTGTCTAATAGTAAAGTGCCATGTTTTTATTCTCATAAGATCATCAAAAGTAAACTCCAAGATAAGACGTCCTTCTGTGCATACCTGGAATACATAAAATGCATGAAATAAATTCCCAGGAATTTTGTTTTCAATGGTATTGTATCATCGATTAAACACCACTCAGAAATATCAGAGCAGTATTCTATTGTTCATCTCCGCTAGATTAATTGTTTTTTGTTCTCTTGGGGAGAAAAAATGACTGTGGGAAAATGACTTCATAGGCCTTACTGCAGCAACAGTAACTTATAATATTATAGATTTTATAGCATTTTACAAACATAGACTATTGTGTGTGCTAAATTTTATTTATTGCATCAATTCTCTTCCCCTTGCAGTTCTACTGCTAATTAGTGACTGAACCTCGCAGTGGAGGTGACTGTGGTGCAACTGCACACACTTGATGTCAAGTTGCTGAACCAGTCATTCGCAACCTGTTTTAAGTTGCCCTTTCCTTACAATAGCTTGGCATATAAATTTTCCTTTCATGTCCAGCTGGAGTACACAGTGGCCTGAATGCCTGTGGCCAAACGTGATTTTTTCCCATTTTTTTCCTTCTTGTCTTTTCCAAGTATTTGATCCCACTTTTATTTTTCTTTCACTTATCTACTTTTATTAATCCCTGATTCCAAGGAAAGCCAGATGGGGTATCTGCCATCGGGCTGTATAAGCTGCATTGCCATGGAAGGTTTGAGAGCCAGGGGAGCAGAGTGGAGATTGTGGTCACGGACAATGGAGCTTCTTCCACAAAAAATGGCTCACTCAGCTTTGTGAGGGGTCTTGTCTAAGAAGGGGGAGGAAAAAATGGGAGGAACAAGTGCAGAAAGTGGCTACTGCCTGGGAATGAAAAACAAAATAAATTACTGGGGACTTTTAAACAAAAATCCACAACTTTATGTGGAAAAACTGCTGTGGCTGTGGTCTTCTTTAAGGTGCAAAATATGCTCTCAGCATGGTAACCTTGACTAGCGGTGCCGTGGAGTAGAGCAAATGATGCCTGATCTGAAAATTAACTACATCTGTTGTTGATTTTTTTTTTCTAAATTGGATGTTTAGATTCACAACTCCTGTTCTAAGTAAACTTGCAAGCGCAGGGTAGAGAGGTATTATGGAAATAGGGTGCAATGGCTTTCAAAAGAAAAGGTTTCTGCAACTTTAATACACCTAATATTTGATTGATTTGATTGATCTAGGCATCCTAGATACAGTTGAGTCTGTTGAGCCTTTTTACAAGCCCCAACTCAGACTTGACTAGTTCCCACTTGGGCAATGTGTGGCTTTTCTGGTTAACTGTTCACTTAATGTCATAATAGTTTTTCCTCCTGGTTATTTCTGCAAAAGCACATAGGTGATTTTAACAGGCATACTATACGGACAAACTACTGTAGACCTTGAAGGAGAATCTTGCAACAGGTTCTCATCTCCCCTTTTCAACACACCTTAGTGATGCCTTCAAATTTTTCATCTGACGTATTTTGTCATTTGACCCTGATTTTGATTTCACATCACTTGCACTATGATGAGAAATTACACAGGGGTACACATACACACACATAAGGATTATACAAGAAGAAAAACATTTTATACTAATGTTACTGTGTTGAGGCCAAAGATCCTGATTACTGACCAGTTAACATGAAAATATTTCAGGTTTAAAATATTTTTTATAATAATACCTGTGGCTTCTCAAAGTTTCTTCTCTTAAGCTCAAAAACCCACAGCTCTTAACAAATTTATTTTATGCACTGGGAGTTAACAAATTCTAACAGAAAAACTGAAACACATTCCTTGTATCACAGTGGTAAAAATTTATACATCTTATAAAGGAATTTAACTTCCTTACATAGAGCAGAATTTTACGCATTGCTCTTAATCAATAAAATTGGTGCAGTTCTTATTTTAAATGGGCTTTTTTTTTTTTAAAGCTGCCTTTTACATAGAATCCAAATATTCAAAAGGGTCTCCAATTAAGAAAACATTTTCTGTTGTGCTGAATTCATGTTACCGTACTGTGAGCTCTGACATTTTGTTTCTGTGGTAACCAAAATCAGCTGATTAGTTGGCATGGCAACAGAAAAGATGTAATCCCAGCAGACACACTCTAATCAATGCCCCCAGCACAGATGGTCTCCGGAGGATCAACAAGAAAGAGGCTGGCAGGCATTCAGTATATCACGTGGTTGCTCTAGACTAGGCCAGGAAAAAACTAAAAAAGAACATTTCTCAAACTAACCAATAGCTTTTTAACCCCTTCACTGCACTTATTAATTGTAGGAATTTCAACCACTCGCACCTATGAAAACCAGTTTTGGTCCTATACCTTATTGTTCAAAGTCTCTCTCCCCTGATACCCGGAATCTTTTAGAATTCTTCCCCTTTTATTAACTACCATTTCTCAAACCTGAGTCGTTGCTTGAAAAGAAGCCTAAAGCTTACACAAATCTGGGAGATGTCTGAGATTGTTAGTAAGGATTAAAATCAGAGAGTTTCAAGGGATTCACCTATAAAATCCAGCTTGATGGCCCCACTGCTGGGTGCACGATGAGAACGGTTCGAACACGGGATGCTCACTGCTCTAGTGGTGAGGGCAAAGCTCGCCTCTGCCAATCTATTGGGAAATATAAACATTGCTAACCGCAGGAAAACAGCTTGCCTGCGCATAAAGTTGGAGTGTCGGTAAACACAGTAAAAACAGAGACTGAGGACTCCTAAAGCTTTCATTAAACTGGAGAAAAAAATTGAAGTATTTCCCAGGTAGAGAAACATGGTAGTCGGGGCTTCAGTCTCTTCTTTTAACTCATTCAATTCATGCCATTGATCTGTGTTAAATTCTTTATAGTATATATTTGTACCTTGACAAAACAATTTTAAAGTGTGTGACACTTTACAAGGACCTCTTGCCCTCTAGAGACAAGCTGGACTATGCATATTCTTACTGTTAGGCATGTTCTAGCCATATTTGTTTGAAAAAAATTGGAAATGCCATTTTATATATTCATCCAAAACTGCAGCATGCAGTGCATTGCTCTAACTAGGAAAATGTTAAAGGGAATAAAATGCAGCTGCGGATTCCTGATACAATACATGATGAGAACTGTTTCAGTCCATTACATTAGAAGTTAGTGAACTTGCAGCTTAGAACTTGTGAAACTGAAACTTTTACTAAAAAATACAGGGGGTTTTTTGCATTATAAAAACCCTTCATGGTGGTTTCACTGGGTCAAATTCTGACATGATCTAAGGAGCTACACAGTCCATTGGAGGGTTGATTGTTACAGGAGGTCTGCTTTGTTCCACCACCGATGCTGTGAGAGTAGGAGTTTACCTTTGGGTACAAGATCCATGCCTTCGGCATCTCTTCTAGAAGTTACACATGCACAGCTGAGACAACATTTGTCTCTAATTTATATCTGAGAGAGTAATATATTCTTGTCTTCCTTATTGCACCAACTACTGTGTTTTATTTCAAATTCACTCTTACTAACACAGTCATATTTTAAACATACAGCCATTAAAAACTCCTATTTTTTCTCCTAGATACAGAGGTCTATACCGGAATCCGCAACAGAAGCATCAGGGCTGAAGCAGGCTGTGCGCTGCCAGGGCTGCAGCAGATGGAGAGACTCACTGCCCACGACAGGATGGTGCTGCGGGAGGCGACTGTGGCCCCCCTCCCATGAGGTGTGTGCCCAGCCCGGTCCCTGCTGCTGGTCTGTCATTGACTTGCTGGATATTAGCCTCCTTGCCAAAGTAACAACACTGTAATGTGCTGCCATGATAAGTAAAATAAACTAATTGAATTGAGAAAAGCGTGTTGTATTTACTGATTCAGGAAAAGAAACCCCAACGTTTTATTTGCTGCTGCATTAGAGAAATGACACAAAAATCGCTTTAGGGAGCTCGGCAGAGAAGCAGCTACTGTATACCCTCATCATGTCCTCTGCACACAGCCAGCACACACAGCTCCTTGTGAGCAGGGAGGTGGCAAAGAGGTGCTACCTAGGAATGTCTGGTTTCTTTGCATCTTTCTCTCTCTCTCTCTCTGTCTATGTAAGTCACAGGGGCTGGAGTGGGAGAGCTGGAGCGATGACACCGCTGAACACACACCTCCCAGCTCACTAGTGCTCCACACACCTTCCATGGCTTCCTTTCGGGTATTTTTGAGCCCCACTCCAGGAGCCATGAAGATGGCAGGGAAGACACTATGAAGGGATGGGACTCACATACGTGCTAAAAGAGTATAAGGAGTGTAAGCCACGAGAGCCCTGGTCACGACACTGGCAATAGCTGGTGCCTTTTTGACTGGAAAACCTCCACAGTCCTGCAGGTCAAGGGGAACAGGGATGGGTTATCTCTTCCT